CAAGAACCTCTTACCCTGGCCCAGGCCAGAGGCTGCTGGGATCCCAGATAACTGGACTTGGTCACCCACCCTCATCTGAAATAAGAGGAAATGACATTAAAAGGAAAATTAGTTTAGTCACAGTTTGGCCTAAAATGGGAAGACAGATAAGCTGTCTTCTCCCCTTCTACAGAAAGGTTACAGTTTATAGGAACAAGGGTTAAGACATACACATATATTGATTCAGCTAGGCTGTGCTAGCCTAGGGGTACATTACAATTCCTCTTCCTTGACACCTGCCTGGACCAGCGGGGACAGCTTCTGTTTCCATTCTCACAATGTGGAAGCTGGGATGGAGAAAATACAGGTGACCAAGAAACGGAGAGGGGAAAAAAAATAATTAGGGGCTTTTAATTTGAAAGAAGCCCTGTAACAAAACAACCATTGTTATTGAAGGCCCCTGAAATGCTGGGTTCATTTGTTATTGCAGCATACCCTCATCCACCCTGACTCGTTTGTTAAAAATATAAAAATTCACCAATTGCTGATTTGTTTTCAAATATAGCTGACTGACATCAATTCTAGATTATCAACAAAACCAACCAGTCTCTTGTCTTATTGTTGGCAGGTGTCTTTTCCAATCTCTTAGGAGCCTGGGGGATCATCCAGAGCTTAGAGATATCTAACTCATCTTTGCTGTTATAGAGTTAAACACAGAGAAAGCCAAAAAACACATTGCTATATTCATGTTTGGAGAACAAATGAATACGTGCAGACCACTTCATCTTTGATCAGCTGTCTTCATCCTTCATAACTCTATGTATTTGAACGGGCATTTGCAGAGCCTTTGTACCAAACAGCGGTGCAGAGGTTGGTCTGGAGTCGGGGCATCTGGATTAGTAGCTGACATGAACATTCATTCCTTATAGCCGTGTAATCTCTGATTTGTGCTCCAAGGTGAGTCATGATCCCTATCTGTAAGATGAGTGAATAGCCACCTCTTGGGGTTATTGAGAAAACTGCATCAGATGACGTTATCAAAGGGCTGTTTTAATTTTATCATCTCCAAAGCACTTTCAGGAGCATCTTGGACACTTTGAATCTGTCTCTTTTATTGACACTGGTCAGTTCTATGGTCTCTTTTATTGACACTGGTCAGTTCTGTGGTCAAGAACTGGGATAGGAGGTTGTATCATGAGCAGATAAATGGAACGAGTCCCCACCTAGCATTTCAGTTCAGCCAAACACTGTCATTAATGAGGGTATGGCCTCCCCTCCAGCTGCCCTTCCACGAAGCTCTGTCTCTTTAGTTTTCTGGGTAGAGTTGCCCGGTGCCTGTGAGTTGTGCTGTGTCCCTGGGGAACTCAGCTGTGCCAGATGGGGAGGGGTTTCC